AATACCTCATTGTAGTTTTGATTTGCATTTCTCTAACAATTAGTGATGTTGAGCATCTTTTGGATGTCCTTGTTGGCCATCTGTATGTCTTCTTTGGAGAGATGTCTAGGTCTTCTGCCCATTTTTGATTGGGTTGTTTTTGTTTTTTGGGGTTCTTTTTTTTGATATTAAGGTGTATGAGCTGTTTGTATATTTTGGAAATTAGTTCCTTGTTAGTTGCATCATTTGCAAATATTTTCTCCCATTCTGTTGACTGTCTTCATTTTGTTGATGATATCCTTAGCTGTGCAAAAGTTTTTAAGTTTAATTAGATCCCATTTGTTTATTTTTGCTTTTATTTCCATTACTCTAGGAGCTGGTTCAAAAATATATTGCTGTGATTTATGTCCGAGTGTGTTCTGCCTATGTTTTCCTATAGGAGTTTTATAGTATCTGGTCTTACATTTAAGTCTTTAATCCATCTTGAGTTTATTTTTGTATATGGTGTTATAGAATGCTCTAATTTCAGTCTTTTACAGGTAGCTGTCCAGTTTTTCCAGCACCACTTATTGAAGAGACTGTCTTCTCCATCATATATTCTTGCTTCCTTTGTCACAGATTAATTGACCATAAGTTTGTGGTTTATTTCTGGACTTACTATCCTGCTCCGTTGATCTATGTTTCTGTTTTTGTGCTAGTACCACACTGCTTTGATTAAAGAACAGTGGAACATTATCCAGCCCTAAAAAGGAATGAAATTCTGATACACGCTGTAACATGGATGAAGCTTGAAGACAAAATGCTACATGAAATAAGCCAGGCATAAAAGAACAAACATTGTGTCATTCCACTTATATGAGGTACCTAAATTCACAGACAGAAAGGAGAATGATAGCTTCCAAGGTCTGGAAGGAGGGGAGGATGTGAGGTAGCATTTGATGGGGATGGAGTTTCCGGTGGAGAAGAAGACAAAGTTCTGGTGATGGGCAGCAGTGATGGCTGCCCTGATGTGTATGTACTTAGTGCCATGGAAGTGCTGACAGACAGTCAAAATGGTAACTTTTCTGTTAGGCCTCTTTTGTCACAATAAAAAATATTCATAAAAGGAACAAAACACTGGGCAGTAGGAATGGAAGCTTGGCTTCCAGAGCAGGATCTGGCTGCACTGGTCCTAATGTAACACTTAGCGCTGTGGTCCTGACACCCTCCCTCCCGAGCCCTCTGAGTCTGCACTCACTCACTCACTCACTCACTCAACTAACGTGTCACGTTCGTGAAGCATGTACTGCGTATTTAAGTTACTCTAAAACTGTGGAATAGCTTGAAGGCTGTTGATTGTGGGTCAGAGGCAGGATAGAATTTATCAAAATCATCCATGTTTGGGAATAATCAAAATTTCTTTTCTTTTTTTTTGATGGAGGCACTGGGGCTTGAACCCAGGACCTCGTGCATGCTAAGCATGCGCTCTGCCACTGAGCTCTACCCTTCCCCAAAGTTGTTTTCTTTTAAAACAATATAATTGTTTGCTTTCCTTGTTGCATCTTTTTCACCTTCAGATATAGATTTGACTCTTAAATCAGAGTATCACAAAATGTGAAGGCTGGGAGGAAAAATTATCTAGCCTAGTAAATTATTTAGCAAAGTAATGTATTTTCAAATAAAAGCGTACAGAGATCACTCATAAAAAAAAGAAAATATTAAAACTAGTACATAGCCTTCTTGGACAGACTAACTTTTTATCATTGGGACAAGTACATGACATTGATTGTGGAAGAGCTTAAGCATCTTTAAGAATGCCTGATTTCTGAGGTCCACCTGAGATTTCAGGAATCCACAGAGCACAGCCTGAAACCCCTTCATTCTACAGATGTAAGTGATCTGCCCAAAACATGTGTTATTCTCTTTATTGTGATTGTCAAACAGTGGTTGTAAGTTGCAGCTGACACTTGAAATCATTTGTTCTTTTAGTCACCTTTAAAAAAAAATCTGTAAAACAATTGAAGGGTAGAAAAGTCTGCATGTCAGTGAGGGCAGTTTGATAAATACGACGGAATCCAAGAGTATGGACCTGCAGTCCAAAATCTACATTATGGTTCTGGCTGTGCCAGTCACTAGATGTGTGACCTGAGGAGAGTCAGGTTACCTCCCGGACCTTGACGTTGTGTTACGTCTGAAAGGAAGGATAATGATGCCCAACACACCTCGTTCCTGAGGTTACGGTGTACTTGTGAGTTAAGCATCTACTTTTGTTTGTTGTTTGAAGTACAGTTGATTTATAATGCTGTGTTGCAGCAAAGCGATTCAATTATCAAATATATATATATTTTCTTTGTCTGATCTTTTCCATTATAGGTTATTACAAGCTATTGAATGTAGCCCCCTGTGCTACACAGTAGGTCCTTGTTGTTTACCTATTTTATATACAGTAGTGTGTATGTGTTAATCCCAAACTCTTAATTTCTCCCTCCCCGCCACCCAAGCTTCTATTTTTGAGGCTGTTTTTGCCATGGTATAAGAAAAACAATCACAGCAATCACCAAGACTAAGTTTAAATGAGATAGTGTGTACATTTAAAGCTGTATATTAATAAATTTGAAAAGTTTCTGTTAGTCTAAGTATTTGTTATCTGCAAAAATAAGTGTTATCTATTAAAAAAAAAAGTCAAGTACAATCTGTAAACAAGTTTTGAACTCCACATCTGTCATCAGGCAGGAATTTCTAGAGATTTAAAATCACAGCTATTCAATTATTTCATCAGTCAACTTCCCCTCCACAGTGAGGAAAGTATAATTTTATTGGTCCCTCAAATTTATGATCACTCCAGCAACTCAGAGTCCAGATCACATGGCTCTTTCTCTTAATCAGATTTACATTTGGAATGCAAGGTTTTACAACATTCAATTTCTTTCTCTATTAAAATGGTTTTCTTAATTTAAAAATTTTAAGCTACATGCCTTGATAAGATTATTCCTCTTCTGGAATGAACAGAAGCACAAAGCAGGTAATAATAATTCCTATTTCAGGCTGATCTCTTTGGGTAATCATCAAAACAACAAAAACAGAACACACCTATGTAAAATGTGAAAAGCACTTGCTCTGTCATAGGTTTTAAAAAATGGTGCTTTTAATCAGCAATGAGAAAAAAAATCAGTGCTTTAGGTCAGGGATTAGCATATCAAGGCCTATAAACCAACTCTGGCCTACTTCCTGTTTCTGAAAATGAAATTTTACTGGAACACAGCCATGCTTTTGTTTACATATCGTCCACGACTGCTTTTGAATTATGACTGCGGTCAACTTGTTGCCACAGAGACCATATGGTATGCAAAGCCAAAAATATGTCTTCCTTGATCTTTTGCAGAAAAAAAAAAAATGGTCCATGCCTTACCGAGGGACCAAGTAGAGGAAAAAGCAAAGAGATGCTCCCCTTTCTTGAAGCAATGGTATCACCGAAAGTCTCTAAACCATAAATATTCTACACTGAGTTGAAAAACAGGCATTTTCCGCCTAGTGCGGATGGAGGCCTGACACTGCAAGGTCACCGCATGGCCCGGGTGCTTTCCTGCCGGAAGGCAGGAAGTATGAGTGAGTCTCCTCTGTCTTGGAAACAAAGAACAAGTAGCTGTGTGCAGACTTCTTAGGCAAAGTGATTCTTTTAAGGATGGACAACACAGGGGATAGAAACAACAGACCCAAAATGATGCAGATCCTTTTCACAAATGTTTGGACGGGTGTTTGGGCCACTGGCACCTCGGTTATGTGTTCACTTTGAGAAGCTGCTTCTCTGGGGCCTCAGGTCGGGGGACAACAGAAGCGACATCACACAGGTGTCTTTCCTACGGTCCCCTCTGCAGTCTTGGGACACTCTCTCATTTTGTAGGAGAGATGTTTTCCCTTCCGGCCACAACCTTAACCCCTGGATACAGCCAAGCCTGATGCTGGATCTGCTCTCTTCAGACTTCCTCGCTGCAGAAGGCGGTAAATCCCGCTCTTGCTGAAGTGCTTTGAGTCGGGTTGTGACTATGCACTCTCACAGCCAGTTCATCCCAATGGTCCCTGCAGCGCTAATATTTCTATGACTTTCCACCCCTGAGAAGCTCGCTGGTGAGGGCCCATGGTGTTTAACGTCAGACCTGTGTTCAAATCGCAGCTCCAACATTTGTTCATTGCACGAGCTTTGCAGCTTCGGTCCTGACCTCTATCAAATGGAGATAATAATACCTGCTTCCCAGATTGATGCGATGGTGACAGGAGATTGTGTGTTTGAAAGTAATAAAGCCTAGAAGAGATAATAAATATTCTGAAAGTGTTCCCCCAGGCCTCCCCAACCAAACCAGGATCAGTGGAGTCAGAGGTCTAGCCCACACCTTCTCTGACTGATCCTTCTAGAATTAACTCAGTTGTCTCTCTTTTGGGAAGGCTTCCCCGCCCACACACCTCTGCAAACCTTAACTTGATGCCAATTCTCAGTGGTTTTACAATCCTCTGAGATTAGCACTTGCACCATTCATAGCACTTAATCCAGTTTTTAAGAATAGTTTGCCACTTTTGGTGGGGGTACAGCTCAGTAGTAGAGCACATGCTTAGCATGCAGGAGGTCCTGGGTTCATTTCCCAGTACCCCCATTAATAAATAAATTGATAAATAAATAAACCCAATTACCTGCCACCCAAATTAAAAACAATTTTTAATAATAAAATAGTGGGACAAAAAATATTTTAAAAGAATAATTTGCCAATTTATTCATTGTAGCAACACATTACCATTATTTTTAAAATTGAAAAATATAGAAAAGTGCAGATTGCTATAATCAATGCACGAATCAGCCACACTTGCATTCCTACAACCCAGAAACAAGTGAGACATGATTCTCTCTCCCTCTGTCTCTCCCTCAACCTACAACTATTTGTACACTTTTAGTTGCAAGTAAGAGCAAACCAGGACTCAGCATTCATTTGGCTTAAATAAAAAGAGATAATTGACTCGCCTCACCTAAGTCCAGCAACAAGGTGACTTCTTAAGCAGGACAATTCACTAAAAGTCAGTCTCAAGTTACAGCAACAAGGAACTGGGACTGAGGCAAATTTAATGTTCCTTAAGTGCTATTATGAAGACCAAGTGAAAATCAGTCAACTAAATCTAGATAGCTAAAATAAGTGAGTAAATTCAGCAAACTGGCCACATGGGGAATTACAGTGGGCAGGCATTTGGTGAACAGACTTTTGGCCACTGACATACAGGGATGACACTAAGGTTGATGGACCAGCAGATCAGCACCCCCACCCTCTGCCCCAAATCTAGGCCTTTCCATTTTCCTGTCTTCTCCTGGGTGTCAGCTTAGCCCAGCCTGGCTGTGTGGTGGCATCCACGTGCAAACATCACGTCATGTTCAGACCCATGTGCCGCAACCTACCACTGGCAAGGGGGCGTCATGACCACTGACGATTGGTTCTGCAGGGCCAGCAAGCTCCCTGAAGCACACAGCCCTGCAGAGAACAGAAATACCAACAAAATGGTGTTGTGCACCCCAATGTTCACAGTAGCACTATTTACAATAGCCAACACATGGAGACAACTTAAATGTCCATCAACAGATGCCTGGATAAAGATGTGGTATATTTATACAATGGAATACTACTCGGCCATAAAAAAGAATGAAATAATGCCATTTGCAGCAACATGGATAGACCTGGAGATTGTCATACCGAGTGAAGTAAGAGACAGAGAAAGACAAATATCATGCCACTTATATGTGGAATCTAAAAAAATACATACAAATTCTATTTACAGACCAAAACCAGACTCACAGACATAGAAAACAAACTATGATTACCAAAGGGGAAAGGACAAGGAGGGATAAATTAGGGGTTGGGGATTAACACATACACACTACTGTACATAAAATAGATGAACAACAAGGACTTACTGTAGAGCCCAGGGAACTATATTCCATTTTTCATAATAACATATAATGGAAAAGAATCAGAAAAGAAAAAAAATATATGCATGTATATGTATAACTGGATCACTTTGCTGTACACCTGAAACTACCAGTGTAAATCAACTACGCTTCAATAATTTTCTTTTTTAAATAGTGTTGTTAGGAGGGAGGAGGGAGACAGAATGGGTAGGAATCAACAGTTTCTGCTACCGTTGCCTTTTGATTTAACATATATAAATGTCTCCACGACAGTAAATGTTTTTTCACTGTTTCTGAAAACGTGATTTTAATTGAAAGTATAAGTGCATGAACACCTCATAATTTAAGACATTCCCTGTTGAATTAGGGCAATTCAGTTTTTCACTGTGATAAATCACTCAGTGTTTTGTCCACAGAGCTGTCATATTCATGTCCATAAACCCATTACCTCAAAGAATGCTGTTTCTCTTATGCAGTAAGTATTGCCATTGACAGTTAGGTGCCATTTTGTTTACTCATGTGCCATCAATGAATCAAGTAAATGATTGTTTGAGAAATGCTGGGTTTGTGATATCCACATGGACTTCTGTAACCTTCACCACCAGCTCCCATGTTACCTTACTTTTTCCCCCAAATAGAAGAGCTCTTGGCCAACTCATTTCAACAAGTGTTTACTGATAACATTGCCAAGCCCGATAAAGTGAATAAGACCCAATCTCTGCCTTTTTTTAGTTTATAATTAGTAGGGTTTTTCCGAAGATAGCTCTCTACAGATAGCAGCCTTCAGATTATCATAACTGTCTGATCCATGTATTTGTTTAATGTTTATTGAGCATCAATTATACGCCATGATCTGTTCTAGAATCCAGGGGCACAGTGCCCTCACAGGACTTCACAGAATCCCTGGGCACTGAGAAAGCAGGCTGAGTGGATCTTTCAAAGTCGTTCCTCCCACCCATTGTTCCCAGGCCCCCTGTCACTTAGGAAGGAAACACCTGGCCTCCCTGCCTTCTTCTGCATACTTCTGAGGGAACCAATTCATGTATATTTCTTGCTTTTGGCCTTGTCACTGATGCCATAGATAATGCAGCTTTCTCAGCAAAGGGCTCAGCCCACAAACTTGATTTGGACAAACTATTTCCTGACACAGCTCATAGCTCACAAGCAAGGCAGGAAGTGCTGCTGCTCACAATGAACTTGGCTGTGGCTGTGGCTGCAAATGGCCTGGGAGGACTCAAATCCTGCTGACCCAGTGACTCCACCACGTTCTCTCCCAGGACCCTGGACCTGTCAAGTGGTGAGAGGCCACGGAGCGCTGGGCTCTGACCTGGGACTTCTGTTCAGTGTGGAATTTTTCAGGATAACATTTCATACTTAGACATGTCATGCTTAAACACAAACTGTTCTGCAGTGGCCCAGGTGAACCTGGTTTGAATATATATATAAACATTTCATTTTTGCCATAAATAAAATTATGAGAATATTTGTACCTTTTTGTCATCCATCTAAACCTATATAGTTAGTAAATTCCTTTTCTGACTCAAAAGCACTTGATTGAAAAATAAAATCTTGATTCACAGAATTTTAGCATTAGAAAGGCCTTGGAAATAATCTAGTCCAATGATGGGCAAATGTGGCTGCCCATCTAAATGACATAGGGAGATTATCTTTTTCTTTTTCTTGTTTTCTTTTTTTTTTTTGATTGATTATACTTGATTTACAACATTGTGTTAATTTGTGGGGCACAGCACAGTGATTCTTTTATACATTTATATGTATATTCATCATCATATTCTTTTCCACTATAGGCATTGAATATAGGTACAAGCTATTAAATATAGTTCCCTGTGCTATACAGTAGGACCTTGTTGTTTATCTATTTTATGTACAGTAATTAGAATTGGTATCTGCAAATCTCAAACTCCCAATTTATCCTTTCCATCCCCTTTCCCCCTGGTAACCATAAGTTTGTTTTCTATGTCTATGAGTCTGTCCCTGTTTTGTAAACAAGTTCATTTGTGTCCTTTTTTTTTTTAAGGATTCCACATATAAGTGATATCATATGGTATTTGTCTTCCTCTTTCTGATTTACTTCACTTAATATGATGATCTCCAGGTCCATCCACATTGCTGCAAATGGCTTTATTTTATTTTTTATGGCTGAGTAGTATTCCATTGTGTAAATATACCACAACTCCTTTATCCAGTCATCTGTCAATGGACATTTATGTTGCTTCCATGTTTTGGCTATTGTGAATAGTGTTGCTGTGAACATCGGGGTGCGTGTACATTGCTGAATTACTTTCCTCCAGATATATGCCCAGGAGTGGATCATAGAATCTGGATCATAGGGCAAGTCTACTTTCAATGTTTTAAGGAATCCTCATACTTTTTTCCATAATGGCTGCACCAAACTACACTGGACATGGGAGTTTTTAAGACTCTAGATTCCCAGGCCTCACCTGGATCAAGAAAATCAGATTCTCAGGGCATCAGATACCAGTGTCAGAAACATGAGTTCAAACCTATCATTTCAAAGATGAGGAATTTATGGGCCAAAGATTTGTGGAGTCGCACAGTCATATTATGTCAATGGGAATAATACATTTGGTTTACTCAAACATCAATGTCTTTCTTAAGTTTATAACCCCCAAAAACCCAGTGAAGCCAGAAGAGAGGCACTGCTGAGAGTCTGGAATCCCTGCAAGGAGGTGGGGAGAGGTCGGTCAATGAACAGCTGGGGCAGAAGGGGCGGTAGAGGCTGGGAGGGCTGCAGAGTTGCCGGAGGAGGCCATCGGGGAGGGCACCAGGGAGCCTCTGAGCAGCAGCGAGGCACTCCTACCCCCAGGAGCCGCTCCCCTCCTCTCCAGTGCGGACTGTGGAGCAGGTCCGGGCGGGATCTGACAGGCCGGTCCAGTGCCGGGAGCCTGACTCAGGCCGATGTCACCGTGACTCAGAGGCTGGATGGGACTGTGCACCTGGCACTCCCGTCCCCGAGGCAGGAAGTTGGCCCCGGAAAGCAGCGGGCCACTCACCTCCAGAAGACACCCAGGCCTGCAGCCTGGGGCTGCTCTTTTCTGCTTAATGCAGAGAAATACATAAAGTGGCATGATACAGCTTTTAAAAGTTTATTTATTTATTTACATTTTTTGCTAATTTTTGGGGGGGAGTGGGGGTAGTTAGGTTCATTTATTTATTTTTCGGCGGAGGTGCTGGGGATGGAACCCAGGACCTTGTGCATGCTAAACACGCACTCTACCACTGAGCTGTACCCTCCCCTCCATGATACAGTTTTTTAGTGGAAAAACAGTGAAGGTTCACTTTTCTTTTAAGGATACATAGTTTAAAAGGCAGGCTTAAATGTGATTGAAAGGAAGATTACTAGCCAGGAGCAAGTTCTCCAATAAGATGCATTTGCTCCATGGATATTCACTGAGCACCTACTAAACGCTGGGCAGTGTTGCAGGTGCTGGTTTCTGCAGCATCCATTCTTAGAACGGAAATATTTAAAAGAGCAGCAATTTAGTCAAATGAGAAACCTAAATTAAAGATCAGTGTCATCCTAGCAAATGGAAAGGATGTACTAGGTGAATTTTGCTTCTGTATGGCATGTTAGACGTCAAAATTCACAAACTACAATACTACATTTTTAAACTCTTGTGTTAACCTGAAAAGTACTGACATATAATTTTAATAGTATTACCAATAGCAACAATTTCTTGAACACTCTGTGCTAAGCATTATGCATTTCTGAAAATTTAATTCTTACCATAAACTTTTGAGGCAGGTCTCAAAAAAAAAATCTCCATTTTACAGACATGGTAATTGAAGCACAGGAAGGTTAAGAAACATGTCTAAGATTACACAGCTCTTGAACCAAATTCAAACCCAGTTAGTCTCAACCCCCAGTCCCCATTTTTCACAAATAAGCCCTAGTGCCGCCCCAGACATCCTCGTGAATCTGCATGTGTTATGGGTGGGAAAGGGCGGAAAAATGGTTAAATGCCCAGGCTTTGGTGTCAGCTGCGTCCTCTTTGCATCCTGGCTCTGCTGCTGCATAGCCAAAGAGTACCTGTCTCCCCGAGTTGTCCTGGGTTTTCAGGATAATTCACATTAAGCACACGGACTACGGACAAGATGATGGTGGTGGTGACAACAGAGGAGCCAGAGTCTTGGCTTTGCTGTGAAATCTCCTCTTCTTACTCCAATCCCCCAAGTTCTGAAATTTGAGTCCCTGAATTGCCTAAGAATAGTGACAAATTATCATCAGATTGCTGGTTTGTTTCTTTCTTTATTCATCATCATCCAACTGGGAGATAGTGAGGGTCATTCTAAACACAGAGCAAGGGCTTTGAAGCCAAGAGAGGGTGTAAGTCTTGGTTCTCACACTTACCTGATGTGCAACTTTGGACTAATTATTAAATGTCTAAGCCCATATTTCTCAAGCTGTTTATGGGAAAGATCAGTCTCTCTCTCTCTTCCTTCCTTCCTTTTTCCTTTCTGGCTATTTCCAATCTATTTTGGACCGACACTGTTGAAAAATACAGTAGAAATATCTTAGTAATGCGCTACAAACACTCTAAATGCTAACTCTCAATTTCTGTTCTAACTCCAGTGAGGACATTAACAGTTTGTGGACATCAGAGTACTACTGCTTTTTTTCATCATTTTTAAAATGGGGACCCTAGTACTTGTGGTCGTTGTGAAAAATCGAGTGAAATCATGCAGATAAAGTGCTTGCCTCACATATTGTGGCCACTGAGCTGGTAGCCCCTTAGAAGTGCCTGTTCCTGGCTTGTGCTAGGAACAGGGGTGAAGAGACACAAGAAAGATCTGTAGAAAGGCATCTCAGGTATTCGTGGCTGAGTCCCTTGTGAGTCCTTTTTCTCCCTAGCTCTTTGGGCAGCGGAATTGCTCCTTGGGCGATATGTCCATCAACTCCAGTTTTTTTCGTGATGTTTTAGTGACCAGCCTGAGGTAATCCCTGAGCCACACCAGAGGCCTGTGCCTTCTGAACTCAGCCCACCTTTCTGTTTTGCTCAGTATAAGGATAACCCCAGAATGTCACTCAGAAGTGAAACAGCTCTGGCTGTCTTGCCCAGCTAAATTAAACCGAGAAAACATGGACAAGGAACATATTCAATAGCTGTGTCATTACTCCATTGGTGGTATCATCCATTTGGCTTTAGAAGTGGCTTGAGTAAGGTCCCAGTGGAGCTGAGGAAGGCGCTGGTGCTGCCCTGAAATGCTCCCCATCAGGACCATTCAAATAGAATATATTCGCCTACAGAAAGTGCAGCTGAGTCACAGAGATGCCATCAGCAGCCTCCAGCAACGTTTGAAGACACTCAGAGAGCATCTAAGTGATTACACCGTGGTGCTGACAGGGGATAGGGTGATGTCTCCTTGCTCATGGGATTTAACTGAACCTGACACGAGCTGAAATCAAATAAACAGAAAGCCTAAACTGGAAGATGACAAACATCTCCAAGGTTTGTTTGATGACTCTCACCCTGAGTAATATCCTCAAAACCATGAAGGAAAGTGGCCTCATGCAAACAGCAGTTGAGGCATGTCTAAAAATACCAGGGGAAAAGGAAGCTCTCAGAATCCAGATTTATGTCAAATTTCAGTTGACATCCAACTATATCCAATAATAAACATTAATATGACTCCATATAGTAGTCTTTATTGTAGTAATAAATACTTAAAACACTTTCTGTAGATTATTTATATCAGATGAGAAATCCTAATGTAAATGTAATTTTATCGTTCACTGAGACATGGAAAGCTACAATACTGAAAAGCATCCGAAAGGTAATATCTCTGTTGTATAAGACACACCAAGAAAACTTCCATGCAAAGCCTCCAACAGAAATAAGCTCGTGGAGAAAAAAGACGTGACAGTCAAATAAAAAGCCAAAGTTCGTCAATTCAGAGAGAAGGAAAATTGATACATTGAACATTGGGCTGTCTAAACAATGAAAATATCGTTAAGACTGATCACCCTCCACTAGCTGAGCTGGCACTGTCTAATGGTCACAACATCAGCTTCGTGATCACAGAGTGGGTAGGTAAGAGTCGTGGTATAGAGCTGGGAAGAAGACAGTTTTAGCCTCTAAAACAACTGGATTAGGGGGAAAGAAGCATTAATGGGATAACCTGAAAAAGCAGTCCAAGTGAACAATAACAAAACACATGCAGGTAGGGGACATGAAGTTGTTAAGATTACAAGCGTTCAGTTACACAAGTCCGGGCTGAAATCTTTCCATAAAATTCTCAGGGGATCAATTTCCAAAATATACAAACAGCTCATACAGCTTAATATCAAAAAAAAAAAGCAACCCAATAAAAAAAAATGGGCAGAAGACCTCAATAGACATTTCTCCAAAGAAGACATTCAGATGGCCGACAGGCACATGAAAAGATGCTCAACATCACTAATTATTAGAGAAATGCAGATCAAAACTACAATGAGGTATCACTTCACATCAGTCAGAATGGCCATCATTACAAATAATAAATGCTGGAGACGGTGTGAAGAAAAGTGAACCCTCCCACACTGTTGGTGAGAATGTAGTTTAGTGCAGCCATTATGAAAAACAGTATGGATATTCCTTAAAAACTGAAAATAGACTTACCATATGATCCAGCAATCCTACTCTGGGGCATATATCTGGAGGAAACTCTAATTTGAGAAAGTATATGCATCCCAATGTTCATAGCAGCCCTATTTACAGTAGCCAAGACATGGAAGCAAACTAAATGTCCATTGACAGATGACTGGATAAAGAAGATGTGGTGTATATACACAAAGGAATACTACTCAGCCATAAAAAAGAATAAAATAATGCCATTTGCAGCAACATGGATGGATCTAGAGATTGTCATAAGTCAAGTAAGTCAAACAGAGAAAGACAAATATCATACATCACTTACATGTGAAATCTAAAAAAAATACAAATGAACTTATTTGCAAACTGGAAATAGACTCAAAGACATAGATAACAAACTATGGTTACCAAAGGGGAAAGGAGTGGGAGGAGGGATAAATTAGGAATTTGGAATTAGCAGATATACACCACTAAATATAAAATAAACAACAAGGACCTACCATATAACACAGGAAACTATATTCATTATCTTGTAATAAGCTATAGTGGAAAAGAATATAAAAATATATGTATATGTATAACTGAATCACTTTGCTGTACACCTGAAACCAACCCAAAATTGTAAATGAATTATATTTCAATGAAAATAAATGTTTAAAGATCATTCTACAAAATTCTGTAAGATGACCTCCTCCCTTGCAGATTTTGGAGATGGTATACGAAAAGTGCTTAGCAAACTCCTAACATCTACTCTGGGTTAGAGAAATGAGAGCCACCATCAAAAGCATTAATAATAGTAAAGCAAGAATGATGACTACAGTGATTACAGCCTAGTCCACTCACTGTTTAACCTGCCAGTCCACCAAAATAGGAACATTTTCTAAAACCTAATGATAATCATAAAGTATCATTTTTTTCTCTATAGCTCCCTTAAAAAGAAACTTATTTATAAGGGGAAAGTGTAGATAAATCTGGCAAATTCACAACAGGCCTATTCTATTTTATTTCATTTGTAAACTGGAGTGAAATAGATACTCTGAGGGCTTCAATTATTTATTTAGTGAAGTACCAAGTAGTGTAGGTGGCACTATACTACTATTTAAACTTTAACCAATATACCTAGAAAATAAATATTGCTACAGGATAACTGGCCTAACTTTTTCAGTAAGCTGGTAACTAGAGGGGAAAAAATGGAGAGGAATTACTACTGTAGATTGTAAAAGACTTGCAGGACAGAGTAACCGCAGGTGATGAAGGGCATTTGGGGGAATCTCATTCGAACAAACCAACTGTAAAAAATGCACCTTTTTTTGCAGCCAACCAGGGAAATCTGATTATGGTTTGAGCATGAGATAATATTAAGGGAAAAAAATGTTGCTTTTATTGAGAGTAATAATGGCATTGTGACTGTACAAGAAAATACCCATATCTTTAAAAATTTACACCAAAGAATGTGTATGAGATGGGTTCTCAGTGACTGGGTTTTGCTTCCAAATAAACTTCCAAAAAAGGAAGACCAGGGATGGGTGAATCAGAGGCAGGAGAGGCCTGGTAACTGTTAACTCCGGGGGTGAGAGGAGGGAAGTTCACTGCACTCTTTCTGTCTTTTAAATATGCTTCAAATTCTAAATGACAAAAATCACGAAATGAAAAGCACTTCAACCCCAGGTAGTTAATGTTCTCTCACTATTTTTAAAAGATGATTCTTGGAAATAAAAATTCAATTTGTTCATATTTACTTCTATTTTTTTCCCAAGATTTTTGGAAGATATTTCCTCTCCATTATATCAGAAGGAATATAATGAAAAGACTTGGCATTTATAGTATTCACAATATATCAGAACCTCTACATTTAAAAAAATCTTCTTCACAGAGGCTTTGAAATGATCAGGAAATCTGGCTAATCACAAGCAAGTTTAGGTACTCCAAGAAGCTCTACCAAGATTTTAAAGGCATGTACTTCACAATGGCATGGATGGCTGTTAAAAGGTATTTTTGTTTCAAGCTGAATAAATCAGACTATCTGATCAATTCTTTTGGATTAAATTAAGCTTATGTTTTGCCTCCGTGTGTGTGTGTATGTATATATACATATAAGTATACTTACATGTGTACATACACATATAAGTCCAAAGAAGAAATGAAAGTTGGTGTCCTAAAGATCATTTCTGGTTTGAAAATTTGGGGGACAGTCCTCTCCCGGGCCTGGGAACAAATTCCTCAACACCTCTAATTAATTCCAGAGTCCCCTCCCAGAAGGAAATCACCAAGGACACCTTACAGATGTGCTGGATTCTGCCTTTCCGTCTGTACAGGGGCGCCCGTGTGATGTCTGCTTCCAGCCTGGATGGAGACAGCCCTCTGTCTCAGCCCCACGGTGATGATGAGGCCATGGGTCTGGTGGGAGGTAGTTCTAAAGTCGAAACCACAGACTTCAAGTCTGAGCAGTCTCAGAGAGCTCACTGCCCAGCCCTTTCCTGCAGAGACAGCGCCATGACCTTCCAGCTGTTTCACTCTGGCCGGCTCAGGTCTGCCAGTCCCTTTCACCTCCTCTCTCTGGAATGCCTCACGTGCTCTGTGCCCCCCTCTTAGGACAAATCCCCTCCCCTTTCTGTTTGACTCTCACATCTTCCCAGTCTCCTAAATGGGGAAAGACAAGGGTTATTCGTACCTATTTCTAGTCTGTGAAAGAAAACATTACCAGATGCTCTCTAAGAAGAAACCTAGAATAATACTGAAACTTGCACTTTCCAAGTGAACCACAATAAGACCCATACAAGGTTTTGGATACTTTTAGAAAGAACTAGAATCGCTGTGGACTAATAAGCGGGAAAAGTTTGAAATTGCATATGGATATTTACTAGGAAATCACTACTCACAAGAAGAGCTTTTGTAATGAAATTTGGAGTTGAAAGTTCTTTGCATTCCTCACTGGTAAGGCAGCAAACTCAAAACCAAACTGCAAGTCCACCTGCGGATAGAGGCAGTATTGTCTTATTTTACTAGTGACATTACGATTACAGGAAAGAAAAAAAAAAGGAAAACGAAAAGGAAAGGGAATTTATTTTCTTCAGTGAATTACAGGAAGTTCAACATTTCAAAATACAAGTCCAGACATCCAACTCAACACAGGTAGCATCAGAATCTAATCAAAATGGCATTAGCAGCAAAAGCTGTTTGCTTCCCACCTATTTTTGCATAACATCATGATTTAGCAGCTGCAAGACTTTCAACAGGGTTAAGATGGTCGCTCTAATTTACACTGCAGGCTGTCTCTTAGATTAGTTATCCTCCCCTAAAGGCTGTGGTCTCAGTCTCGAATCCATGTCATCTTTTATGATAATAATATCACTAAGTGTTTTTTGGGGGGAGGGGGAGGTAATTAGGGCTATTTATTTATTTTGTATTTATTTTTAATGGAGGTACAGGGGATCGAACCCAAGACTCTAAGCACGTGCTCTACCACTGCACTATCCCCACAGCCCCAAGTAGGTGTTTCTTAATGTTTATAATTAAGTGTTTCTTGATGTTTGGACTTGTCTTAAGTGTAACATCTGGGGAAAAAAAGCTGCTTTCTGCTCTGCCAGCCTCATGCTAGCTCCAATTTCCTCCTTAAGAGCCCAAGGCAAAGAGCACCCCAAACTCTGAAAATCTCGAAGTAAAGGGAAGGATCAGAAATGTATGAATCAAGCATGAATTATTTAAACTGCTCAGAGGCAAAGAAGCATAGAGCCTGTTTGTAAAGATCCCCAGAGATGTAGATGATTCCACAACCTCAATGACTAATTCCTACTCCATGATTCTTCATCTTATTTAACCAGAATCCAAGGGCTGGATGTACACTACGCTTCTCCACTGTGGAGTCTCAGAAGAGCTGGACCTCCCCCCACCCTGGTACTCCACTTGGACCACAGGACTGCAATGGACTGTGTCTGAGATGGTCTGGCTATTCCAGCAGGACTGAAGCACTTCATTTTCGTCACGTGGAGGGTGTTTTCCGCACACAGACACACAAAATCACCAGCCGTTCAGCCATCCCTGAAGCGTTCCCTCTCACTTGAATCATTCTCCTCTGGCGCACTCACTTTTACTGCTTCTCTGTAGAACTTCCACCCACCCACCCACCTACACCCACACCCACACACCAGTGCTGCACCCAGATATTTCATTTCTTGCCAACTTCCATGTTCTGTCTCTGAGCTGTGGCTTTGAGACCTCATTCTCCTCACCACCACCAGAAGCTGACTTTTTCCCCCTAGAGGTGGGAGATTTTTTTCTATACGAAAGTAAGCGGTTTTTTTGCCTTTTATTCAAATGACTGTGTTCAATGACAAAAGAGAACTTGCAGGCCTGGCGGGGCCAGGCACTGACGCAGTCCTGGACCGCGCCTGCAGGAGCCCCGCTCACCCCTTAGCCAAGGTGCCAACTGCTCTCGGTTCTACTCCAGTTGATACAACTAATGAAAACTGTACAGTTAAACTGTGAACACCAACCAGTGACCTCTGATAGCTCTGGGGCCAAATTCCTCCTGGCACAGTCTGCCTCTAAGCTGCAAAGATCACCCTTAGGCCGGGTTTGAAGCAGTCCCTTTTCTCTCCTCTCTCCTACTTTTTTGGCTTCTGGATTTTATTCAGATCTAATCTCTTTAAGCCCTGCTCCTCCTGGGCCCAGTTTGGTCAGCAGGGTGTGGGTCCCCAGGTGCACGGTGGCAGATAAATTCTGAGTGCCAAAGAGAACATGGCTGAATGGTTCTACTTTATATAATAGCCCAGGGGCACTTGAAGGCTGTTATCGGTCGTAACCAGCTTTTCCTTTTCCTGGTTCCACCATCCTACTTGCTCTGGTTTTTCCCTTCAGTTGTGGGGTTTTGTTTTTTTTTTTTTTGGTTTCTCTGTATATATATTTTTACTGAAGTATAGTCAGTTTGTAATGTTGTGTCAATTTCTGGTGTACAGCATAATACTTAAGTCATTCATTTTCATATTCTTTTTCACCATAAGTTACTACAAGATATTGAATATAGTTCCCTGTGCTGTACAGGATGAACTTGTTTACCTATTTTATATATGTTAGTTTGTATCTGCAAATCTTGAACTCCCAATTTATCCCTTTTCACCCCCTTCCCCCACTGGTACCATAAGTTTGTTTTCTGTGAGTCTTTTTCTGTTTTGTAAGTAAGTTTGCATGTGTCACTTTTGTAGATTCCAGATATGGTATTCACATGGTATTTGTCCTTCTCTTTCTGGCTTACTTCATTTAGAATGATGATCTCCAGGTCTATCCATGTTGGTGCATTATTTTATTCTTGTTTATGGCTGAATAGTATTCCATTGTATAAATATACCACAACTTCTTTATCCAGTCTTCTATTGATGGACATTTAGGTTATATTCATGTCTTGGCTACTGTAAATAGTGCTGCTATGAACATTGGGGTGCATGCATTTTTCTGAATTAAGGTCCCCTCAGGATGTATGCCCAGAAGTGGGGTTGCTGGGTCATAGAGTAAGTCTATTTTCAGTCTTTTGAGGAATCTCCATACTGTTCTCCATCACAGCTGCAGCAAACTGCCTTCCCACCAACAGTGTAGGAGGGCTCGCTTTTCTCCACACCCCCTCCAGCATTTATTGTTGGTGGGCTTTTGAATGCTGGCCATTCTGACTGGTGTGAGGTGATACTTCGTTGTAGTTTTCATTTGCATTTCCCTTTGTTTTTTAGGCCCCTGCCCTTTCATCTTCCCTGTGGCTCCTCTCTGAACTTTTCCCATTGCTCTGAAGCGATTAGTACTTTACACATTATTCTTAGAAGCATCTGACCAGCCCCTCAGGAGATCACACGACAAAGACAGTAAGGCGCTCGGGACAAAGCAGCAGCCCAGGGTGTCGGCTCGCCAACCAGGCCAGCGGGCCTGCAAGCCGGTGCTCACCTGTGGTCTTGGAAGGCCTTTTAGAGGAAGGGAGGGAAACGAGGCACCCGCACTGCTGCTTTGGTTACTGATAGTACTTCATGGGACTCTCCCGTCATATGTATAGTCTCATCTACTTCATCGTCCATAAACACCCTGAGAGGAAGGTCGTTACTAACTCCAGGTAACAGGTGAAAAAGCGAAGGCTCAGAGACGCGGTGAGGTTCCAGGTTTGTTGACCTCAAAGTGCAAGCTTCTATGCTACGCTACGTCAGCTGTTTTGCAAAATACCACAGGCAGGGAAAGACTTTTCTGCCCTGGAAACAGCTCCACCAGAGGGCTTTTGGGGTCGTCCTCACGTTCTAAAAATGGCATATTCAATCCCAAAACTTTGCAGAAAGCAGCTGCTGCTGTTCTGTCTCCTTCCCCAGCTGACTTCTGCTCAGGAGGGCAGGAGAGGGGGGCGGAAATACAAGAAAAGGCAGACAGAACATTGATGTGGTACCAAAGATGTAAAGGATGATTCTTGAAATTAGATTTGCAGGTGCATGAATGGGATTTGTAAGAGGCTAGATTCAAGTGAATGATAACTTATCTATGCAGTTTAAACACAAGGACCTTCTTGATTCTTCTAGAGCACTGTAGTGGGGTCTGCAGGCGTGCCATTTCCACACTGGCATTTGTCATTGGGTTTGCACTGTCACTGTTCACCCATCTGTCAAATCTGTAGACAAATGGTTTCCATCTTGAGTTCATGTAAATTATCTTGTTCATGTTGTCATTTATTTCTTCTGTGTTTTTCTTTTTTTTTTCTGATTCACTCTCCCAGACACTGATCTGCTTTTGATACTAATTCTGTTTTCCATAATGTTAGCAATCCACAGAGATTTACCTATAAATTAGTGGGTCTCCTCTGTACTGTCTAGGACTGACTACCGTCTCTGACTGACACACAACTGCTTCTTAAAGAAGGAAAGTCTGCACTAGGTTTGCTTCACTCTAAAAGCCAAGGTCTTTGGAAGAACGAATCCTTTCCTAGAAACGTCAGTTTACTGTCTTGGAAAGGAGGGTTTATTTTGAGGTAGATACTTATTTTCAGAAATAGCCTTCTGGTATTAAAGGCTTATGTTTTGGAGGGAGGGAAGATGTGTTCTTCAGCCTGGTCATTATGTACACATAATAACTATCAACTATCTTTCCATAAAATACATTCAGGTCTAACTCATTCTTTCTTTTTTTCTTTTTTAAAGAATGTTTGCAAAATGCTTTTGTTTATTTTTTATTATTGTTATTTTAAATTTCTTTTTCAGTTTTATTATGCAGAGTTATTAGTTTGACTGCACATATACATTATATTGCATATACATACATACATACAATATACTGCACATTTTTTTTTTTAGTTTACACATATGTACTGATCATTGTTTGTAAGAACAGATTAGAGCGTTAGCTTTCACTCATTCTCCTTTAACGCTGCTGGTTATTTCATTCCATGCACGTGTTAGAATTCATTTAATCAATTTTGCCTTTTCCTGAATGTCAGTTAGAATCATACAGCATGTAGCCTTTCTAGATTGGCTTCTTGCACTTAGTAATATTCATTTAAGTTTCCTCCATGTCTTATCATAGCTTGATAGCTTATTTCTTTTCAGCACTGAATGTACCATGGTTTATTTGTTCCTTCACTTACTGATCGACATCTTGGTTGCTTTCAGCTTTTGGCAGTTATGACTAAGTCATTCTAAACATCTGTGTGCAATTTTTTGGGTGGACATTTTTCAACTCCTTTTGGAGGAGGGTCAATCACCAAGGAGGGTGCTTGCTAGAACATATGGGAAGAGTATGCTTAATTTTGTAAGAAACTGCCAAACTCTCTTCCAAAGTGGCTGAACTATTTCGGATTCCCACCAGCAGTGAATGAGAGTTCCTGTTGCTCCACAGCCTCACCAACATTTGGTGGTGTCAGTGCTCCCAAAGTGGACATTCTAGTATTTGTGTTGTGGTATCTCATTGTTTTATTTTGCAATTCCCTAATGACATATGATGTAAAGCATCTCTTTGTATGCTTTTTTAAATTTCTTATATCTCCTTTGGTGAGGTGTCTGTTAAGGTCTTTGGCCCATTTTTTTCAATCGGGTTGTTTGTTTTCTTATTGCTAAATTTTAAGAGTTCTCTGCATGTTTCGGAGAACAGTCCTTTATCAGATTCATCTTTTGCAAATATCTTCTCCCTCCTGGTGAAATTTCAATGTTCTGACTATGAGAAAAACAGTGTAGGTGACATTTTAGGCATGTGGCTGTCATAAGCAGTTATAAATAGGGAATTCTTGTGAGCATAGCCCAGAAAGCCTATGACACCAGCCACCAGTGATGCAGAAGTTCCAAAGCAGCAGCAGCACGGGGCTGGCTACTCTGAATGCTAAATGAAGTGTTCTGGGAAGTATAGTTACAATTAATATAACATTGTTCTCAATCTAATTAAAAATTGACAACAGGTTTTAAGCAGGGTGATTTTTAGGTATAATTTGAAGGCATTAAATTCCTAGTATGTAAGCTGGAAATTTGAAATAAAATGTTCCGGTTTCTCTTTGAAGTTTGTTTTACCTTGAATAGCAAGCACAAACAGCACACTCTTTAGTCGTGTGGTTGATCCCAAAGGACTGTGCTTTCTCTGTTCTACTTCCTACAGGTTATATAACACTGCAGGGGAAATCTTGTTATCACAAAATATTGGAGGTTTATCTGATGTTTAAAGAATTGTTTCAGATAGGAGTAGCTAATGTACAAGTCAAGATACCAGAGCACCACAAAAACAAAAAATTTGTTTAGGCTTATAAAAGGGATGGATCTTATCTGTGCTTAAAAATTCATTCTTACATGAACATACATATATTTGTTTTCATATTCTTTTTCACTGTAAGTTACTAAAATAGTGATTCTTACTTTTTGAGGATTAAGATCCCACTAAAACCAGAATTACCTGCACAATTGCAGATCTATATGTATAAGTGAAATTTTGTCTATAGTTTTGGGGGTTCAGGGACTCAGGGTTTCCCATACATGAGCACACGGCAAGAACTCAATTTTGGACAATATGTTATGAGATTAATGTGGGGGAGGAGGGCTATATTACTTACCAAACACACAAACTTTTCCGTTAACATAGCTGACTGACTTCTGAATGAATCTGGCCTAAAATTAAGCTGCTCCTAATTCAGATTGCTAAATTTTCTCAAGATACTCAAAAGCAATTAAATGAGGACAGAAATATTACTGTCTTATGGTCCCTAGCCATCACTCACTAGTAGCACCATAATTTCCTGTACTGAGCAACCCTGGTTCCCAAAAAAACTCCGGCGTGATTGGACTGTTTATATTTGGCATATTCTTCATTCTTTTTTGGGAAGGCACATTCCCTTCTCCAGCTGAAGAAACTCAGTGTCTGAAAAGAGCTGCCTGAAAACACTGTTCCCTCTGGGCTCTTAAAAATGTTCAGCATCTGAAAGCTGGCAGGGAATGCTCATGCCCAGAGGAGGCAGAACTCCGTGGACTGAGCAAGAAAAAACCCAGGACGCTATCTATGGAAAACAGGAAGCAGCACAGTTGAGACAGCCTTACTCACCCACGACCCGTATTCAAAGCCCTAACCCAGAAACTCTGAGCTACCTAGAAAAGGGAAAGACCCAATGGCTAGCCATAAGCTATAAGGACAGACTGTCCTGACACTTTTCCACCTTACTTTTAAATAAGCAAATGAATAAAATCCTAACTAAAGCCCTGGACCGGCTGGTCCAAGACACAGCCACCTACCACACACAGTTGCTTGCCCCTCCCTCCTGGGGAGCTGAATTTCTCATGGTCCCTCTGGCGACTGTAACGGGGCACTGAGAAACACTCACTAAATCAAAGCCCCCAAGCCAAAAATAGACCGTTGCAAAATACACGAACTTACAGTTTCTTTGCATTATTAGATTATTTGCATATTTGGAGACAGAAAAAGGAGGAACTGGAAGGACTGTCTCACACTTTCTTGTTTTTCAAAATGTCAGTAATTCCCAGGGCTATTTTGTTTGTTTGTTTTTAAACCCAGGGCACACAGATTCACATTTTAATAGATGGAGTTAAGTGTCTTCATAAAAGGAGTGGGGTTATTTATGATTCAGAAGCTTGTCCACATTAGTGTTCCAGGGCAGCATCAGAGACCCCTTTTCCTTCTAACCTTATCTGTTCATTTTTTTTCTTTGTTTAAAGGAGGTGTTACATTCTGAGTACCTGGAGGTGGCACATGAGGAAAATATATCCAGATCACCATGTAGAAACAGTTCTTAGAAAAGTAGCTGAGGCCTTCCCCAGCCACTGCGTCAGTCAGCTCCAGAAGCCATCACAGACACAATGGTATTTAAGACCCAGTCTGTTGATCCGCCACACTACTTGCAAGGATCTTCTTTCATTAAATCTCCTAGGAAATCTTTTCTAGGGCATCTTTCTCACACATCTTTCCTGTTGCCTATTGCACCTATAAACCTGGGACCTGACTGACGATAATTACTTTGGATTGCGATAATTACTTTTCCTGTTCCTCGTGATCTGGACACTTTTATTTACAGGGTGACCGTATAATCTATCATCTATATCAGGATGTACTTTTGAGAATAAAAACGGGGGCTATTAATAATTGTGTTTGGACAACAGACAGGCTGGGGCTATCATGGGCATACTGGGATACAAAGTCGCCCTGCTTATTTAAAACTGATCTGGTATGAAACACACCAGCCATTGTCAAGACCAAAACATTTCGGTCTTGGGTCTACTTCTGTTCGCACAATGGAGGTATTTATCCTTTGCTGTAACCCCATACGGTCTGGCCCAAGAGATACGATTATCGCACTTGGGAAATTATTTATAAGTAAATGTGTGCTAAACTATTTGCGTGTAGAATGTTACACTGTTTAGGGTTGTATCCATTGTCAAAAGATTGAAAAGGCTTCAAGTTGTCAGGGGATGAATTGTGGCTCACTGGATAGGGCAGTATTTGATAGGCTGAGTCCTGAGAGTGCTCAAACTACAAGAGAGACATCTCTCCACTCCGAAGTAACATTGACTCTCTCCCACTCCCAATCCTGTCTTCCACAATCACATAATTAAATGTGACATACTAGATCTAAATCAGTGACCCAACTGTGATCCCATTGTCTGAAAGAGATACTCTGGTTTCTAGAGAAGACTTTATCCTCTTCTGTGCTTGACTAAATGTTAGCGGTTCCTTTCATTTGTGTAAACGTATTCCTTAATTGTAAGTAGAAATGAGAATTAAACATGGATTGAAATTGAGTTGCGAAGCCCCATTAAAAAAAAATGGCAGGGCCCCCAAGCAGGGCCACTACTCTCCTGCCAACACCATCCGGTTCCCTGGCCCAGAGGCTCTATCTCACTTTTTGCCTCGGAAATGGCTTATTCTAGGAAAGTGGAACTTACACCTAAAATTCTATTTGTTCCCTGAGCTCATCCTGACTGGTTATTTCCTTCACTCCTGATTGGTCCATTTCTACAAAGCTTGTTCCTAATTCGTCAACTTTTGTTATACCTTATTTGCATATGATGTTGCAAAGTATAAGCTGGCAGCCTATAAAAGCCTGTGTAAACCTACAGAAGGGGTCCAGAGTTTGAAGTGTTAACTTTCCTGGGCCTGGTAGTGTAATAAACCTGAGTTCTCCAATCCTCTGAGTGCTGCTTGGTCTCTTGCCCGGATCCAGATTGCTGTCACAACTGAGCTGTAGCCCCCATCTGTAACACATTTTTCTGCAGCAAAATGAACCTGGCCATCCCGTAAAGTCTCTGCTGGTGAGCAACTCTGAGACTTTACTTTGAAAAACCGTAGGTGAAGAAAGATACATTTTGAAGAGCATGTTGCAGTATGCCAAAACTAAAGAAAAGGCAAAATTTTAATTATTTGACATTATAATTTAAGAAATGGCAGAAGATAATTTATAACTGGGCAAGAGTGGAGGTAAAGTACGATTTGCCTTTAATTCAAGATAGATACCTATCAGGACATGATTTAGCAACATGACCTTCACTATTCCAACCTACTAGGAATTCCTGTTTAACATGGTGAGACTGACCAACCTTTGTTTGGGGTGATCATACATTTTACAGTTAGCTAACTGTCCACTGGTTAATATTGATATAAAATGACAGGGCGAGTCACCATCCTGACCAATTACTGCTCCTCCTAGAGGACCTGTTCTTTAATTTCCTGTTTCCTCAAAGCTTGTGACTTCTGTACGTAAATTGCTACTCACACTTCAGTTTGGCCAAATGGTCTGGTGTGGCCCCAGAGCGAGCAAAGGGACCCTTTATTTGTCTCTCGAATATCAGCTGAGCCTCTGTTATGTGACCTGGAACAGTGTTTGACACTGGGATTAGA